TTTTTTCCTTTACCGCCCCCCCACCCTCCCTTCGTTCGTCAACCACTCGCCCATCGCACATAACTCTATCCACGCATTGTCGGTATCTTTAGCCTGTATCACGCGATCTCCTTATTTCTCCCCCACGAGGCATCGTTTACCTTATTATTTATCGCGACACGATAAAATCGTGTGTAGACAATTTTTTTAACGACTCAATAGCATCGAAAGTTTTTGCGAATATGTCAAAGTATGCTCCCCCCCATACTCGTTTATCGTCACTCCTCTATCTTAACCATTCATGTCTCCTACAAACGTCTCGATCTAAGACTTGAATTTATACTGTAGTTATTGTGTTTTGATGTCGAAAACAAATATGTGAAAATGATCTTCTATCAAAATACTTTTTTTGCCTCTCTCAGTTGCAAGGATAATGAAGAAACTTTACCCTGAACGACTTTGTTTCGTGTGTATATATACTTATGATAAAACCATTTTAGGTGGCACGCCATTTTTATGGCGAAACCTTAAAGCATTATCGATTCGTTCAACGTGAACGCATTTTTTTAAGAGTATTCTTTAGTTCTCTTGTCTCTTGCACTGCGATCGTCGTGATCTCTTTGATTTATGTGTGATTCTAGGTTAGTCCATCCTTCCCCCTTCCCCCCTTTCGTTGCTGTAAATCGCTAATTCGACAATAAGTAGATACAGCGTGTTGGTACCTTTTTTTAACCAGTGCAGACCTCCTTTGGTTCCCAACTGTCGAAAATCTTTTATCGTAACGAAGTGTCCCTATCTAAATGACTAGTACAGGAGTGGAAGTGCGTCAGACACGCAGAAAGAGGAAGGAGAGTGGAATCAGGCGAAATCTGTAAAATCATCAATGTTTTAAAATCCAAATAGTCCTTAACTGCACACGATTATTATTACTTGTTTTTCTTTTATTTTGATCCTACGACGGAACTACAAACTCGTACGTACTAACAGTCGAGGTCATTTTTCACTATACTCGTTTCTCAATACTGCAAATAACCGTTCGATATTTCAAACAACACAGTACTTTGCGGGTTTGTGTTTTCACCATTTTACATTTCGCGTGATACTTCTCTCTCTCTCTCTCTCTCTCTCTCTCTCTCTCTCTCTCTCTCTCTCTCTCTCTCTCTC